TATATATATATATATATATATATATATATATATATATATATATATACACACACATATATTTATATATGCATACACACACATATATATTTATTTATATTTTAACCGCAGTAAATATAGAGCTCTTAATTTGAAGAGAGAGCATTAGTACACGCATTAAATAGCCATTAGGTAGTTTCTGGTTATTTTATCGTAATTCTCCAAGCATGAACTGCAGTTTGGATGTTAATAGGAAGCGGTTAGTTAAGAGCTGCTGTCATAGTCCAGACGGTCAGAGATAAACTTAATGCTCTTAAACACATTATCGACCAACAATGGAAACCAGGCTGGGCTAGAGCAATAACTAAAGTTAAACACAGCTGAGTGTTTACCAAAGCGAAGCTGATAGAACAGACTAACTCTGTAAAACAAAATGGGAAAGAAAAGAGAGGAAACTTCCCTTTATACGAGTTATTCGCTCTAAAATGTCCTATAACCTCAGCGGTTGGAGTGAACTCACCTGGAAATTCAACTTCTGAGTAAACCGGGGTGAAGAGGAGAGCTTCGTAGAATGGCAGGCTATATCCCAGCTTTACCTCCTTACATTCTTCATCTTTTCCAAGAGCTTCTGTCACTAAAAGACTCGTCAGTCTTCTTAATTTAGGGACCAACCGGTACTTCCAGCCGAAAATGTGTCCAGTTTGGACCGCGCTCGTTCAGTCCGTCTCTGCTTCATACATTCAGTCCTGTTAGCGAAACACTGACACACTTCTGAGAGTTTAAATGAGCTAAGCTAAACTAGCTCCATCCATGGACAACAGGGATATAACCAGAGGGGCACGAGCGGCACGCGCGTGCCATCTACCGTTAGTTAACTCCAGCGCTGGTGAACAAGTACAGGTGGACCTTTGGACAGGATGTAGACGTAACGCCCTCTGCTGGACACCTAAAGCAACAACATAAACCCACTACATTCTATTCATTGATGAATGAAAACCATCTACAGGCATGTCCACGGCCAAGAGTTTAAAATATCATAGATCAGTAGGGATAATCTAGTTTCCCTTTGAGAAAGTATTTTTTTTATTAAATTGATTTAAATTGAATTATGGTATAATAATATTAAACAGTTTTGTTTAACCAGGGATCTGCAACCTATGGATCCAGAGCCGCATGTGGCTCTGTGGACCCTCTACAATGGCTTTTAACAGTAAGCAAGTAACTAATGTACAATAATAACAAATAACAATCTTATAAGTTCCAGTGCTCTTTATAAAAAAAAAAAATATCCCTAAAACAACCAGAAATGGGGCTTTATAGCTATTTTCCTTTAAATTAGGTTGGAAAATATGCATTTTATGATTACCTTTTTTTTCCTTTTACATCAAATAATATCCTATAGGAGAAAAATCCATACTTCATCTTTATGAATCGTTTCATGTTTTTACTTTTCTTTTTAAAGCTAAAAATACAAATAAAACTGTTGGTTGTATAAGATGACAACTGATTTGTTATGTCAGACATTTAACAAAAATAAGAGGTTGAGTTTTATTAAAAAGTAATTTTATATTTTATGGTTCTAAAAGACTTGGGGCAGTTTGGATATGAGAGGTTGCAGACACCTGTGTTATACAGATATCCTTGATTTCTTCTGATGTTCCTTAAATGAAAAGACTAAGCAGATGTTCATCCCATCCTTACCTTATTCTGCTCTTTGCTCTTTATTCGTCAGACGTGAACCTTTTTCTATGCAGGCTAACATGTACTAAAGAGCAAGGGAAATTACTCTTTTAAAATTAAAAAGACATCTTATTGCATTTGTTTTCTGTTGATTTTTTGCCCTGCTTACTCATAAACTTAATGTGCAATATTTTCTTTATTAAAAAAATGCAAAGCGGTTGGATTTTAAAAAGTGATCTTCAAATAATTGAAGATTTTGTTGCCCACCTGTTTGCAGTTGCTGGCTGTTTCTTACCCTATTTACTTTAAAAAAAAAAGAAGAAGAAGCAAGAGAAACTAGGTAAAATCTTGTCCCAAGAAAACATTTTTTCTCCTGTGTCAATAAGGGCTAAAACAATAAATCAGATTCGTTGAGGTTCATTGATTATAAAATAATCGTCCACTAATTTAATAGTGATTAATCGCAAAGTATACAGACTCTAAAACATGACATTTTAGGGAAAGAACAGCAAACTCAGAGCAGAAATTAAGTATATATCATGAAACCCTTCTTTTTCAGTAAATTTACTCTATATAGAATTGATTGTGTGGCATGGTTTTAACTTCATTTTATTCAAATCTGTAAAAAACAGCAATGTTTGCTATCCATTTATTAATAAAAAAAAAAAAATAATAAAATAATTCTTAGTTGCAGGCTGATTGGTGAGACAAGTTTGTACCCATTATACACTGTAGGTAGAGGTGAAATAAATTATTCAAAAGACCATAAATGGCACCCAGACTACACCTTTGGCATCAGTGTTTCAGAGAGTTATTTATTTATACATGTCTTATTTAAAAGTTAAAAGAGGTTAAAAGAGGTCATATTATTTTCAGAAACAAAAACAAAGTGCAAATATATACAGTGAAAACTTACAAAATCCAAAACATTTATCATAGTCCTCTATAACTTGTACTTTCCAAATTATAATCGGGTGAAAAAGAAAAACCAAATTTCACATCATTTAAACTATCCAAGCAATAAAAAAATATATACTTTTTTTTATACTGTTGCATTTCACCCAACATGACCCACACAATCCCATTAGTGCAGCTGAAGACATCAGCGTCTCAGTGAAGTCATAACTGGCAGCAGGCTCCAGCATCTCACCTCTGTTGGCCTGGAAATAATGACATAGAGGCTCTAGAAACGTAAAAAAATGAGTGATCAGAAAGACCCAAAGACCCAAGTTAGAGAGGTATCTCTAACTTCTTACTTTTCTCTTGCTTCTCAGGATCAAACATGTAGTTTTGTTGTTGTTCCTTGAAGTCAATATCATGTAAGGAAGAGCAGGAAGCAGAAAAACTGCTGACTGATGAGGATGTAAAAAAGTCATTCAGCTTCTCCAAAAAGTCATGTTATAATACTCTTTGAAGGCACAGTACTCTGTGTCTGTATGGGTTTAGACACTGATTTAGTGGAGACTAGTTAAAGTCAGGGGCTTCCCAGTGGCACAGTGGGTAGCACTGCTGCCTTAGAGCAAGAAGCTTCCGGGTTTTATTCCCACCCCCCAGGGAGAACATGCAAACTCCATGCAGAAAGAGTTAATATGTTCTCCCTGTGCATGCGTGGGTACTCTCCTGGTACTCCGACTCCGCATTCCGCAAAATTAGGTTAGGTTAATTGGCTTCCCTAAATTCTCCTTAGGTGTCAATGGTTGTTTGTCCTGTTTTTCTCTGTGTTGCCCTGCGATGGACTGGTGACCTGTCCAGGGTGGACCCCGCCTCTCACCCATAGATAGCTGGAGATACGCGCCAGCACCGCTCGCTACCCCAGCTGGGATAAAGCTTGACGGAAAATGGATAGTTAAAGTTAGTTTGTACTCTTACTGATTTTTTTTTTAATTAAGACAGTTATACTTGAAAGATTATCATCCTTTTCAGTTCTGAATTTTTAATAATTTTCAATGAAGTTTCAAATATAAGTACAAAGCGATGCCTTGTGGCAACAGTTAAAATGGTCTGCTTCTGAAAGCAAATCTGTTGGGCTATCATCTAGCTCAGATACATATATATATATATATATATATAGTTTTTTTTTTTACTCAGTCATTGGATTTTTTTTATTTGAAAAACAAAAAGCTTAGGAAGTTTATTTCTGTTTTTAACAACTAGCAAAGTTGATTAATTAAAAACTCCAAAGATCTCCTGGGAATTGTATATATGTTATATATGAAAAAGATAGGACTTAATTTCTGCACCATGAAGGCAGGCATCTTGATAAGGTTACTCTCTTTTATATACCATGATATTGCTATTATCATAGTACGGAAGAGGATTAGGGCCACTGGAAAAAAAAAAAAAAAAGTTAACTGATTTTTTTTTAATTTTATTTCAGTATAGTATGGGAAAAAAGTCAGAATTCTGACTTTAATGTCAGAATTCTGACTTTTTTTCTCAGAATTCTGACTGAATTCTGACAATTAAAAAAAAGTCAGAATTCTGACTTTAATCTCAGAATTCTGACTTTAATCTCAGAATTCTGACTTTTTTCTCAGAATTCTGACTTTATTCTCAGAATTCTGACTTTTTTCTCAGAATTCTGACTTTTTTCTCAGAATTCTGACTTTAATCTCAGAATTCTGACTTTTTTCTCAGAATTCTGAGATTAAAGTCAGAATTCTGACTTTAAACTCAGAATTCTGACTTTTTCCCCATGTTAAACTAAAATAAAATTTAAAAATCAGTTAACTTTTTTTTTTTTCAGTGGCCCTAATCCTCTTCCATATCATAGAGTTATAGTACTTTCTGCTTTTTTGTTTGTGTGAAGTTCCTTCAGGTAGCAGCTGAATATGGAAGATAGATTTATTTTATAATTTTTTTTGTTGTATTTTTTTTGTCTCTGTATCCTCCAATGTATGTATTTATTTTTTGTTTTTGATGTGTTTTTGTCTTTATTTATCACGCTATTTATTGACAGATTAAACCGTAATTATATATCACTACGGTCTGCCATACCTTTCCATCTCAGCTGTGGGGTCCCTTCCTCAAAGGGAACTCAAACCCGGTTCGCGGAAGTAAATAGGCGTTTAGACGCCTGTCAGCTACTAATACACGATTATTTAAACCCATAACAAACTTATATTCTCAGAAACATTTAGAATAAAGTGATGCTTAAGAACTGGGGAGTCTGGTTGGGTCAAGGAAACAAAAATGTCGAAGTTTCAGAAGAACTCGAGCATGTTGATAAGAGGAGGGACAGTGATGAAGAAAAGCAAACCGTTACATGTGAAAAACACGCTGAAGCCCCCCCACTTCTTCAGAAAGCTGAAAGTTTTAGCAGTAAGTCTGCCTTTGCTGTTCTAAAGTCAGAATAATAAACCAATGTTCTCCTTTATGTTTCTCTACCAACTCAGCTGAGCTTTCTTTCAGAGAGCATGATCAGTTTGGCCAACAAAGCCTCTAAGAAGCTGACTGAGACCATGTTAGAAACAGCAGAGAGTCTGAGGAAAAGCGTGGAGGAGGGCAAACTAAACCAGATTATTGATAACGTAAATAATCCTCTGGTTGGGCTGTTTTTATTACAACTGGTGGAAGAGTCTCCTACTGCTTATTTTCCTACCCGCAGAGCATGCTGGGGGATTTTCAGAAAGAGCAGCAAAGGTTTGTTCTTGAGAGAGAAGCTAAAAAAGTGGGTAAGTAACCAAATTCAGCAAAAGTTTGACCTGAATGCAAGTGTTATGAGTGCTTTAAATGCTAGTGAGGATCCCCATATTTAAAGAAGCTTCATGTGAAAATGTCACCACCTACTGGTGGAGGGCAGAACTACAGTTAGTAATATAATTGTGGTTTTGGAATGTTTGAGCTGTATAATAAAATCTTTACGTTTTTTGGGTGTAAAATGTCTTAGAAGAGAAAAATAATTTAAGGTGCATCGTTTTTCTGCCATTTTAGTGAAATAAGCTCAAGCAGATAGTGAAAGTCTTTGTGCAAATTAAAGGTGTTAGTCATTTTTATATTATAACATAATAGTTTTTCCAAATTTTTTTTGTTTTAATTGGGTTGGAATTTATGTCTTTTGGTTAAACCCACCAATAAATTTTTTTGTGATTTTACCAACAAATACAAATGAGTCACATTAGCCAAAATACTTGTTTTATTGCAACTTCTAAAAGTTGTGAGGTGGGTCTTGAACCATCAACCCACAGATAGAAAGTCCATATTTTACAGCTGATGCCAATTCTTAGATAACATATGTATAAAAAGCAATACTACTTACGACCCATTACATCTCTGATCAGTGGTTTGCTCAGATTTTGATCATTACATTATTTAATCTAAAAAGAACTAGTTTTAACCAACTAGACTGGTTGTTTTTCCAACCAGATTGGAAGTTCTATTCATAGAACTTATCCAAACTGTATCCAATTCTCCTACAAACTCCCACATCTTGACTGAACACAGAGGCTGTTTAAATGCCTGTCAAATTTGTGGGCGAGCTGAACCACTTCCCAAACCGGTCATGTGCTATGGCGATAGAGAGGCTTTGGACATCATCTATTGTGGCTCCTCCCCCAAATGAAGCAAGCCTCGATACGCGCCTTGCGGAAACGTCCCCCCCCAGTACTTGACACGCGCCTTAAAGCCTCGGCTCATCTCATAACATCACTACTGAATGGAGATTTGGTGTGAAACTAGTGGAATGACATTCATCACTGTGCAGTTTGGCTAATCCACTAAACAGGACATAACACTGGGATGATTGATCAGGTCTCGCCTTTATTGATGATCTAAATAACTTATTGTTTCCAGGTGCGGCTGTGCCACCATGGGTTGGTTACGATGAAGAAGACATCATGCAGGAGCAAATTTTAGCCCTCTCAGCTGTCAGTATGATGAACTTCAACGATACACTGTTCTTCCAAAAAAGTAAAAAAAAAACAATCCTCTAAATTTGGATTCCAAGTTTGAAGACGTTTTGCTTCCCATCCAGAAAGCTTTTTTAATTTAAAATGTTAGAATTAGTTTTGAGTTCGAGGCTTGATAGAGTCGACCAAAAACTTGTTTTGGCTTAAAAAACATGCAAATTGAGCCAGAAGAATGGGTCCACTGTAGGTACCAGATCTGCCCCGTCTTATGTCAATATATGGCAACTCCACTCGGACAAACTGTATTGCACCCATTTCTTAAGGATCTAATCTCTTTTGGAGTTTCAACATATTATTACTTATATTTGCTATTATTTTACATTTCATTGGCGATCTAAAGAAGCCGAAAGTAGAAAACAATCATTGTCAGTCTCGAAGGAAAGTACTGCGTTCTAAGACAGACTGAGCTCTGCCATTTAACAAGGTGACACTAATAGTCTCAGCTTATTTTTATTCTTTTTATTAAGATCTGAGGGCAGAGGAGGACAAATGGGACATCTTAAAAAATGACTTTCGTAAAAATTTTAGACAAATAAAACCGTTATTCTACTTGTAGGAAATTAACAGGTTTTTTTGATACAAATTCAATAGTATGGCTTAATATGGCTAACTGAGCGAGCTAAAACAGGCTAACCTGATAGCTACTGAGCACAGCTAGCCAAAGCGCTACCCAGCTCTCCCCTTTATATCACGGTCTAACAGTTACTTTTCTTACCATAAACTTTTTTTTTTTTCTGTTTTCTAATCGATCAGGTAGAACTTCATCTGTGAAACTAAGGATGCTCCCGACTCGGCACACGGATTCTGCATGATGTTATTATCGTTGTCTGGGCAACCACTATGCTTTACATAACGTGGCAACGTTCAGCCAATCATGTGGCGTAACGTCACTGCCATGCACAGGGCCCCGAACCGATATGACCACAGGAATGGGGAGTCGTTTTGGGTTCTTTGTTAGTCTGCGATACCCAGAACTGGTCTATGCCTCTGAAAGGAGGGGTCGTTAGGGGCAACTGTTGGCCTGCCTGCAGGCGAGATGTTTTGTTCCCTGCATGGGGTTTTACGGTTTGAAATGATAGCGGGAAGAAATCAACTCTATCACTGAATTGTAGGTATTTGAGAGCTGAAACCTGAGTCCACCCCCTTTGAGAAGGTCGGTTATTCTTGATGTCCTTCACACCCCTTTCAAACCACCTGTCTTCTTTGTCCAAAATGTGAACATTCTGGTCCTCACATGGGTGTCCCTTGTCCTTAAGGACAAGACTATACTGTCCACCTGCATCTTTTCTAAACCAAAACCAGTTTTTAGGCTACTATATAAATCTTCGAACTCAACGCTAATTCTGACATTTTGAAATTGAAAAAGCTTCCTGGATGGGAAGTGAAACGTCTTCAAACTTGGAAACAAAGTCCAGTGGATTGTTTTTTAACACTTTTTGAGTGAATATGACCTGGATGACTGAGAATATTCACCAGCATAAATAGACTGTTCTGATTGAGGGAAAAAACAAAAACAGTAATCCAGTTATATGATCTCGACTGATTGCAGGACAGGAGGAATTTTCTTCGAGACCCCCCCGCCGGCGTCCAATTTCCCTTTGACCTTGAGCAGTCCTATCCCGTCGCCTTGGTGATGCTGGAGGAGGACGAGCTCCTCAAGAAGATGCGTTTCCATCTGGTCCCCAGAGAGTGAGAATGTGTCACTAGTTTGTTTACGTTGTGACTCAGTGTTCATTATGTGAGTTTATAGTAATAAAAAAATCTGAATGGGAAATGTTTTTGGATTTTTTTAGGGTGAAGGAGGAAAGATTCTGGAGGAATTACTTCTATCGAGTGTCTTTGATTAAACAGTCAGCTCAGCTCACGGCCCTAACAGCACAGCAGGCTTCAGAGTCTCACTCAGGTACAGTCCACTGCCTGCCATTTTTTATTGTTGATATTTTAGCTGGAACGGGGGGATGATTATTCATATTACAAAGAGCTCAACCACAACAGCAACTAAATAAACTAAATAAAATAAATCGGGACCTAATCTTCTCAAAACCAACAACTATGGAAGCCTGTTTGAGCCGCCCTCATGATTTAAAAAAACAAACATACTGTATCCTTACAACTATGAGACAGTATCCCATAATAATATGAGACTCTCATAATAATGAAATGGAAATAAAAAGCAAAACATATCTTACAATTATGAATTAGCTGATACTTATTTATGAGATATATAAGTTTTTTTTTTAAATGAGAATGGCTGAAACTGGCTTCCATACAGCAACTCACTCTTCCTTGGGACCCAAACAATTTCCCACAAACAAACCCTGAATCTATGCCATCATCACAATATCAGTCTCACACTTTTTTTGTTTAAATGAAGACAAGTAGCTGTCAGAATCTGAAAATTCTGGTGTGCAATTTCAATCTGCATAACTGAGTCAAAAAAGAGGGAAAATCTGATTTTTTTGCAACCTCATCCACAAGTCTAATGGGGTATTTCTCTACCTCTTCCTTCATCTGAACACTGACCCTATTTACCAAATCCTATTTAGGGAAGGAAAAGCTCTTACAGCTTAA